ATCCTAGACTTAGACTCCTCACAATTTCATTTAGTCTTGGGCAATTTTGAGAGCTCATTGGAGGTGGATTTCCATCAATATCCTACGGTAAGTAACTTCCACCCAATTCCAAGTTAATTGTACGGGTTTTAGGTAGATTAAACACTAAAAGATTGTGAAAACTTGTAGGATTCATGAAGAACCTAGGGTTTTGGTAAAAGTGGAATTTAACCATGAAATTGGTTATGGAATTGAGTGAAAATTATATATTTGAGTTCGTGAGGCTATGGGTAATAATTATCTTTAATAATTTCCGGAATCCGGGCATGTGGGCTCGGGGCGGATTTTTAGAATCTTCTAATTTGTGTTAGGAAATTACTCTAATAGCTAAATTATGAGCTTTGGAGCATATATTGATTAATTCTTATAATATTTGGCTAGCTTCGGATTGTTCGGCACCGACTTGAGGCTTTAGAGTGAATTTGTGGACCGGAAGTGAGCTTTGGAGCGAGGTAAGTCTCTTGCCTAACCTTGTAAGAGGGAACTCATCCCCTTAGGTATATTTTGTGGTGTATTTATTGTGTGGGGATCTAAGCACATATGAGGTGACGAGAGTCTGTGCGTAGCTATATTCCATGATATGGCTCGGTAGACTTAGATCCACAACATGCTTTAATTGTACTATTGTGATTACCTTGCGTATTGACTGTCTTGAATAGAGCTAATACTAGGAATTTTATGTTTCAAGTATCTATGTAGCCTTCTCCTTTGGAAAATTGAGGAATATTTAATAACTATGAAAAATCCATGTCCTCTCGCGTCGCAAGTACTTCCGCGAGCGAGGTAAACTTCTCTACTCTAATGGGATCGGGCCGTTCGCCTTGGCAGTAGCACTACTCTTATGGGATCGGGCCATTCGCCTCGGCAGTATCTCTACTCTTATGGGATCTGGTCGTTTGCCTCGGCAATGCCACTTCTCTTATGGGATCGGGCCGTTCGCCTCGGCAGTATCATATTCTTGTGGGATCGGGCCGTTCGCCTCGGCAATACCACTACTCTTATGGGATCGGTCTATTCGCCTCGGTAGTATTGAGTACTACTATTCTTATGGGATCGGACCGTTCGCCTCGTCAATTTCGTGCTAAATAATAGGAACGTATTCCAGTTTGGGCATAATTGAGTTAGGGTCTTCATGACCAGTTATGAGATATTGGTTATATGCCACGGATTCCTGTTACATTATTGTAGTTGCTTCTATTTGTTTCATTGATACATGTTATATGTTAACCATGTCTACCATATGCACTCTCATTATTATTATCGAACTTTAGTAAGTGTCCAGTCGACCCCTCGTCACTACTTCTTCGAGGTTAGACTAGATATTTACAGGATACATGTTGTTCTTCGTATTCATGCTACACTTCTTCACTGATGTGCAAGTACTGAGACAGGTTCCACCAGTAGTCACGTGGGCGTGTAGCCGATCTGTTACGGAGACTTAGGGGTGAGCTGCTTGCCTTGCTACGATCTGCAGCACTGGAGTCTCCTTCTATATTATTTACTATTTTTGTCTATTACTTTCAGATAGTAGTCTTAGTGGTTTGTATATTCCTTAGATTGCTCAAGTACTTGTGACGCCGGGTTTTGGGGATTTGTAGCACTTTTGTACTATTGTACTCGTCCCTTCTATCGCAATAGACTATATATAGTTTTATATTGAAACTTGTTTAAAATGGCTTATCATCATTGCATGAAATTACTGTAATTAAAATATGTTAAAAAGAGGATAAATAAATGGTAGATTTGCATATGTGCTTACCTAGCGGTTGCATTGGGTGCAGTCTCGACCAAGTACGGAATTGGGTCGTGACACCATTTGCACTCGGATGATAGGGTGAAGATGTGATTCTCTTGATTTTTAAATCTTCAAGAAACTTTGTGATCTTTGTGCCTATAAATTATTACACGTTATTCCAGGCTATCTCTTTTAGTATTCCAAATCTCCAAATTATGTTCACCTATAAGAAATCCACCACTTCATGTTCGCCGATCTTCTGATAAGGACCTGCTTCAACACACTTAGAAAAATAGTCAGTTAAAATTAAAATAAACTTTACCTTACCAGGGGCTGGTGGCAGTGGTACGGCGATATCCATTCCCCACATCATGAACGGCCACGGAGATAGAACTGAATGTAATGGTTATGCTGGTTGATGTACCAGTGGTGCGTAGCATTGACACTTACCACATTTTTGCACGAAAGCTTTGGCGTCTTGTTCCATTCAGGGCCAATAATATCCTGCCCTTACCAGTTTCAGCACTAAGGAATTTGTGCCGGAATGATTTCTACATATCACTTCGTGGACATCTCGCATAACATAATTAGCTTCGGAAACTCCCAAGCATCGGGCCAGCGGGCCTTGGAAAGATTTCCTATACAGTTGGCCTCCTTTGAAGCTATATCCTGTTTCTTTAGCGCGCAGAGCCCGTGACGCTTTGGAGTCTTCGGGCAACTTCTCGTGCTCGAGCTAATCGTTGATCTCATTCCTCTAATCCCATACCAGATTAGTCGTATTTACCTTATAGTCGCTATCTACATCGAAAACCGAGTGCATGAGCTGTATTACCGTCCTGGAATCCTATCCCTTCATTTTCGTTGATGAACCGAGGTTAGCTAATACATCTGCTTCTGCATTTTCTTCCCTCATGATGTGAGTAATCGACCACCCCCGAAATCGATCTAGCAGATCCTGGACCTTCATTATGTATTATTGCATGCGCTCTTATTTGGCTTCGAAGATCCCGTAGACTTGATTTACCATCAGTTGGAAGTCGCATTTGATTTCTATGACCTCAGAATATAGTCCACATGCTAGTTCGAGTCCTGCAATCAAAGATTCATATTATGCTTCGTTGTTATTAGAAGGGACCGTTCTTATGGCTTTCCTTAGGTTTTCTCCCGAAGGCGTGGTTAATACTATGCCAAGCCCAAACCCCTCTACGTTGGAAGCTCCGTCCGTAAATAAGGTCCAAACTCTCGATGTCGATTTGGACACCATCACTACTCATTTGGTTGCTAGAGGAAGCAATCCCGGACTGAAATCGGCCACAAAGTCGGCCAAAACCTATGACTTAATCACAGTCCTTGCTTTATATTCTATGTTAAATTCACTCAGTTTGACAGACCATTTGGCCAATATACAAGAGAGTTTTGGTTTGTGGAGGATGTTTCACAGGGGAAAGGTGGTCACCACAACTATCGGGTGACATTGGAAGTAAGGCCTCAGCTTCCGAGCGGCGACTATGAGAGCTAAGGCCAGCTTCTCCAAATGCGAGTAGCGAGTTTCTGCTCCCATTAAAATTCTACTAATGTAATAAATGGGAAATTACGTACCTTCATCCTCACGGACTAAAATGGCGCTTACCGCTACCTCCGATACTGCGAGGTAAACTAACAGTGCTTCACATTCCTTCGGATTTGAATGTAACGGAGGGCTTGACAAGTACCTTTTCAAACCTCTCAAAGCCTTCTAGCATTCTGGGGTCCATTCCAAGTTGTTTTTCTTTTTGAGCAGCGCGATGAAACTGTGGCATTTCTCTGATGAAAGGGAAATAAACCTGCTCAAAGCGGACAATCTCCCTGTGAGCCTTTCAATTTCTTTCACGTTTGATAGATGGTCCGAGATATCTTCGATGGCTTTGATCTTATCGGGGTTTACCTCAATCCTCCTTTGTGATACTAGAAATCCTAGGAACTCGCCGGAGCTGACCCTAAATACATATTTCTCAAGGTTAAGCTTCATGTTATGCTTCCTTAGGATGTCGAAAGTTTCTTGCAAATTCTTAAGATGATCACCTGTGTTCAAAGACTTAACGAGCATATTTTCTATATAAAATTCCATAGTATTCCCTATCTGTTTTCAAATATCTTGTTTACGAGCCGTTGATAAGTGGCTCCGGCGTTCTTTAGCCCGAAGGGCATCGCATTATAGCAATATGTATCGAAATTCGTTATGAACAAAGTTTTTTCCTGATCCTCCGGGTTCATCTTCATTTGGTTGTACTCGGAATAAGCATCGAGGAAACTCATTAACTCATGCCCGGCCGTCACATCAATCATTTGATCGATGTTTAGCAGTGGGAACGAGTCTTTTGGGCATGCCTTATTCAATTCCTTATAATCTACACACGTGCAAAATGTATTGTTCTTCTTAGGAACTCCTACATTAGCTAGCCAGTCTGGATAATTTACCTCTCGGATCAAACCAATATCAAGTAGGCGAGTTACCTCTTCTTTGACAAATTTATTCCTGGCCACCGCAATAGGGTATTTCTTTTGTCTTACCGGAGGTATGTTGGGATCTAAGCTAAGCATGTGTACGGCCACTTCCGTTGGGATACCTGTCATATCCGCATGTGACCATGCAAAACAATCGGCATGATATTTAAGAAATTCAATAAAGTCAGACCTGATCTAGGTGTGAAGTCTTGTCCCCAAGTGGAATTTTCTCTCCAAGAACTTTCCAAACAACGCAACTTTCTCGAGCTCTTCTGCTATGGATTTTGTTGCATCCGTCTTTTCTGGTACCTGAAAATATCTCGGTACCTAGTAAGATTCTGACGTTTCTCCCCCAGGCTAACTTCACTCGATTCTGGAGCAGGTGCTAGTTCCTGTAATTGCTATGCTGTATGCTCCTTCCCTTTGCTGTTGGAGACCGAAATCGCATTCATCTCCCTTGCCGCCATTTGGTCGCCTCTTATCTATTTTATTCCTTCGGGTGTTAAGAATTTCAGCAACTTTGTACGGCTCTCATCTGGTGCAACCACGGTCTTCCCAGAATAATATTATAACTCATATCACCATCCACCACTTCAAGAAGAGTCATCTTCATCAACCCTTCGGCGTTCGTGGGCAGCAGGATCTCTTCTCGAGTTGTCACGCTTGCGAGGTTAAATCCGGTGAGGAGTTTTGTGGCCGGAATGATGCTTCTGGTGAGTTTGGATTGCTCCAATACCCTACATTATATAATAATGGATGAACTTCCTGGATCAACCAGAATAAATTTGATTTTAAAATCTAGTACATTTAAAGAAATTACAAGTGCGTCATTGTGTTGTAGCAACAGTCCGTCCGCGTCCTCCTCTGTGAAAGTGATATCATCTTCAATGACTTCTCGGAGTATCTTGCTATGGATTATTGATACCTTCATCTTTTTTTCTACTGAGAAGGTGACCCCGTTGATCTCGTTCCCCCCGAAGATCATGTTGATCGTCTGGCACGGGGGATCTTCTCCTACTTTCGAGGGCTCCGCATTATCACGGTTGTGGCTGTAGGTGTTCTTTGCCCGATCACTTAAGAATTCTCTGAGATGACCATTTTTAAGCAGTGGTGCCACCTCTTCCCCCAGATGTCGATAGTCCCCAGTCCGGTGGCCATTCGTCCCGTGGTATTTGCTCCACAAATTTGGATCCCTCTGGCAGGGATCAGACCTGATCGTCTTCGGGAATCGTGCTTCTTTAATGTTCCTCAAAGCCGATACCAACTCAATTACATTGACGTTGAAGTTGTATTCTGATAGCCTGGGGTAGGAAGGATATCGTGCATCTGACGCTTCTTTATCCTGCAATGATCTGTTGTTCCGGCCGCGATCGATTCTTCTGTCGGTAAAGAACCTGTATGCCTACCGGACCCTCTGCCGCGTCCTTCGGATAATTCGTAGGGCAAAACTCGGCCCCTCGATGACCGTCTTTCTGTGTCAAAATCTTCTTTTGATTTTTCTTTATTCTTCTCTCGTCCTTTTGCTGACGATGGGAAGCCAATTTGATCATCTTCAATCCTTATCTTAGACTTGTACCGGTTGTGGACATCCACCCTAGTCGTCACTTGGAACTCAAGCAAGCATTCCTTCAATTTACAGGAAGCATCAAAACTTCTTGGATTCAGATCCTTGGTGAATGCTTTAGCCGCCCATTCATCCGGAACAGTCGGGAGCAACATTCCTCCTTTTGGAACCGGGTGACGAATTCCCGCAGCAACTCGGACTCTCCTTGTGCAATTCTGAATATGTCGGCCTTTCGGACCTGAACCTTTTTGGCCTCGACATGCACCATAATAAAATAGTCCGCGAGCATCTCAAAGCATTCTATGGAATGCTCGGGTAACAAAGAATACCACGTCAAGGCTTCCCCCGTGAGGATCTCTCCAAATTTCTTCAGAAAAAAAGATTCAATCTCTTGGGGAGCTAAATCGTTCCCATTCACCGTCATGTATAGGTGGTAATATGCTATTGAGGGTCTGAATTTCCATTATACTTCGACATGCCGGGCATTTGAAACTGTTTCAGAATTAATTCTGGTGCCGCGCTTGGTTTGTACGAAAATTGAGTATATTTCTTTGAGTCCGGCCCTTTCAGCACTGGTGGTACACCCGGGATTTGGTCCATGCGGGCGTTCACTTCCCTCATAAATCGTAAGATTTTGCTCTTGAAGGGATCATTTTCGTTGTTGGGGCCAGTTCTGCTCCCCCCAGCCTCATCAGAGCCAACCTCGCTCCTCGGGGTGTTGTTGTCGACCCTCTATGTTGTTTGATTCGCGGGAGCACCGGAAAGAACTAGACCTCTTCCATTTACATTATTGGAAGCCCCCCAACAACGCTTCCTTCAATTCCGTCATAACTTTATCCTGTCATATAAGATGGCCTAGAATGATCGCTTGTGGATCTTGCAGGACCCTTACCGCTTCAAAAACATGCTCCTCTTCAGCATCATCGGGAGTCGCCTCCCAAACATGTCGCGGGTACCGCCTGTCATGGACCAGCGTAGCATCGTTCCCCTCATTGCGGGTGTCACTAACTAAATCCTCGTGATGACGCTGGTCTCCTCTGGCCTCAAGATTGTGTGTGTTGTTAATACCATTATCTGCCATTTTTGTTATCTTTTGATAAGAAAAATAATCAAAACACGTTAATAAAAGAAGCAAGGACCAACTTAATTACATGACTTTTTAGGTCCCACGGTATGCACCAAACTGTTTACCCGTAAAAGGGTATAGTTGAATTTATATCTGGTTTCTAGATAAGTAAATTAATTTGATCCCGAAATAAAAAAAATAACTGAAGAAATATGTAATACATAGCCTTGAAATGAAGACAAAACAGCAAAAACAATAATTCCGGAAGCAGGGCTTCCGGGCACAACAGTAATGAAATCAAGGAGTAAGAAGATAAAATTGTATAAAGCTTTGAATTGATTATAGCATGAGTTTGCCAGAAAATTCGTGTGCTTTATAATGATAACAGAGCTCACTACTTATAGTTGCACCTAGGGAACAAGGTCCTAGGATCATGCCTTTCTTTAATGTCAATTTTGAGGGCCATTGAAGAATGTGTAACGGTGAGCATAAATGACAAATTCTTTATAACGGGCAGTGTACTAAATGCTATGGAATATTCTCCATTAAATGCTACCGGGTGAAAGGTATTTATTGCATCTTTATGAGCGTCATTGATTTCGATGACAAATGGAACAGTTGTCTTCGGTTTAAACTATCCTCTGCTTTCGGCTCCACGTGTCACTCTCTTATGCAACTACTTGGCATAACATATTTTATCCTATACAATATCGATATTATATATCACTGGATTCAAGAAACGATAAGGGATGAATCTATGTAGGTTAAGAAGATCCATACAAGTGAAAATCCTTTAGATATGCTGACCACGGTGGTACCAAAAGACAAGTTCGAATTGTGCAAAGAACTTGTCGGCATGCACTCAAACTAGAACCTGGTGCTACCTCCATCAGGTGAATGGGACTGGAGGGAGAGATTGTGAGGTCCATCCCATTGGTTGAAAATAGTTGGCAATAGACTTATGCCTATTTTTCCCATAGTATGAAAGAGAAGCATTGGTGAAAGATCTTACTTGGAGCCAAAGTTTGAAAATAAGTGGAGGTAATTAAAAGTGCTCATGTGCATACTTGGAGTCTACGACTCTTTTTCTCCTATAAAAGGAGGACCTCTTTCACTTGTTTATGCATATCATCAGAAAGAGAGAAAGAAGAGTGATGCATCACAGACAGGATATAAGAAAATAGTCTGTGAGGAAAATAGAAAGTGTGAGCGATATTGTAGTGAGGTGGAAATATCAAAAGAGGGATATTTCTTTTGAGTGTTGTTGTGGTCTTTGAAATATTTTACTCGAACCTATAAAGTGTAAAATTTCTTGCTATAGTGATATCAGTTGCTCCTCTCGGGGTCTAACCATTCCCTTATTCATAAGAGTTTCACTACAAAAAATTTGTCTTTTAGTGGCGACCAAAGTCACAACAAAATCATTGATAGTCGCCACTAAATATTTACAGTAGTGACAATGGAACTGCTGCAAGTACTTCCATTACTGAATGTTACTTATGGCGACAACATGAGGTCGCCACAGAATGTATACATTTTGTGGCGATGTTGTCGCTACAAAAACTAAATGTACTCGCCACAAGAAAGAGTTCCACCAAACTGATTTTATTGAAGTCGCTACTGAAGAGTAACATTTAGTGGCGACTTAGTCGCCACAAAAATAATAAATCATCAGTGGCAACTCTAATAGCGCTACTGTAGACAACTTTCAAGGGCAACGAAACAACTTCCAAGGCCCAAACCAACAAAAATGGTGACCTCAAAACAATCAAGGCAATTGGAATTCTAACAACCAAGGAAATTGGAGTGGTGGNAACAACCGAGCAACCCGCCTCCTTATCCTTCCCATGGACCAAGTTCTTCAAACAATTAATGGGGCGTATTGAGAACATGTTCAAGCAAATGATATAAAAGAATGCCGATTCGGATGCCCAACTTGCCTCACACAACACATCGATCTGCAACTTAGAAGTTCAAATGGGACAAATCTCTCAAGCTCTAAATGCTCGTCCTTAGGGGCACTACCAAGTGACATGGTGGCAAACCCAAAGAGTGGAAGCAACAAGGGGCATGCCATAGCCGTTACTATAAGAAGTGGAAGAGGTGGGAATGAACCGACCTCAAGTCAAAAGCAACTTGTGGATGATTAACAAGTGGTACAAGAAGAAAAGGTCTCGAACAATATGGTGCAATCAAATGATGAAGTTCAGATTGATATTGATGATAGTGTGGAAGAGACTCAAGAGGAGGTGAACCCGTCTAGGGATCACATTATTGAGATACCAGAGCCGATAATGCAAGTCTAAGGTATCATTGCCTAAGCCTCCAACTTCATACCCTCAAAGACATGCCAAACAAAATGGCGAGAATCAATTCAAAAGATGAAAGTCTCTCAATCAATATTCCATTAGTTGAAACTTTAGAACAAATGCCCGGTTATGCAAAGTTTATGAAGGATCTCGTGATGAAGAAGCGGTCAATGAATTTTGAAACTATCAAAGTCATTAATCAAGTGAGTGCAATTGTGCATTCAATGGCTCCTAAGTTGGAGGATCCCGGTGCTTTTACGATTCCTTGTACAATTGGAAGTGACGAGTTAAAGTTCTTTGTGATGGGAAAGTATCAATTTGATGCCTTATTCGGTTTTCAAGACTTTAGGAATTGGGCAACCAAGACCCACCTCTATGAGATTTCAAATGGCCGATCGTACTATGAAGAGACCTTTGGGAGTGATTGAGGATGTTTTGGTTCGTGTTGATAAATTCATTCTTCCGGCGGATTTTGTCATTCTAGATTATGAAGTTGATTATGAGGTGCCAATTATTCTTGGAAGACCTTTCCTTACTACGGGGAAGGCTCTTTGTGATGCTGAAGATATAGAACTCACCTTCTGGGTGGGTGATGAACAAGTGGTTTTCCATGTGTGTAAGTCCATGCGACAACCAAATAGAAATGAGGTGTGTTCTTTTATGGACTTGGTGACCGATGTTATTGTTGGTGATGCAAGTGCCACAATCAATGTTGGTTATATGTTGGAGGCCATCTTGCTCAACTTTGATAATGACGAGATGGATGGCTTAATGAAATGTGTGGACTCTTTGCAAGTAATGGGGTCATACAATGCGCCTCGAAAACTATCTTTGGATCTTGAAAATTAGGACAACTCCTCGTACAAAGCCTTCCATTGAATAACCTCCTACCTTGGAGTTGAAGCCATTGCCTCCACATCTTCGGTATGAATTTATTGGCCCTTGTTCTACTTTACCGGTTATTCTTTCCTCTTGTTTGACTAGAGTGTAGCTAGATTCTACATTGGCGGTTCTACAAAAGAGAAAGAAGGCTATTGGGTGGACATTGGCGGATATTCGGGGGATAAGCCCCACTTTTTTCATGCATAAGATCAACTTGGAGGAAGGCGCCAAACCATCTATTGAACATCAAAGGAGACTCAATAAGACTACACTAGAAGTTGTCAAAAAGGAGATTATCAAGTGGTTGGATGCTGAGATTGTTTACCCCATTTTCGATAGTTCGTGGACTTATCTAGTTCAATGTGTCCCGAAGAAGGGGGGCATGCCGGGGGTCACTAATGACAAGAATGAGTTAATTCCTACAAGAACGGTGACCGGTTGGAGAGTGTGTATGGACTATCGCAAGCTCAAAAAAGTCACAAGGAAGGATCATTTCCCACTTCCTTTTTTAGATCAAATGCTTGATAGATTGGCCGGTCGTGCTTTCTATTGATTTCTTGATGGGTATTTTGGCTACTACCAAATCCTTATTACTCCGAAGGATCAAGAGAAAATAACCTTTACATGTCCCTATGGTATTTTCGCCTTCAAGCGGATGCCATTTGGTTTGTGCAATGCACCAGCGACTTTTCAAAAATGTATGATAGCTATCTTCATGGACATGGTGGAGGAATACCTTTAAGTTTTCATGGATGAATTCTCGGTGGTTGGAGATTCTTTTGATGATTGTCTTGAAAATTTAGATAAAGTGTTGGCAAGATGTGAAGAAACAAATTTGGCGCTCAATTGGGAGAAGTGTCATTTCATGGCCGAGGAAGGCATTGTCCTTGGACACAAA